ACTGATGTTTTCTTGCTCTATGACTCACAGATTTCCCTTTGCTATTGATGCATCCCCCCATTTCAATCTTTAGCTTCTTCTCATTCTGTTACCACTGGCTGCAGCAAGACACTGTCTGTGCCACAACCAGCCAGGACAACAGGGCCACAGATCATTATCCATTGCCTCTGCTACACAGCCTCAGCTCCTCAGCACCACTGCCCTGACCAGGGCTGAAATGAAATCATTTTGAGTTTTATGTGGCCTCATCTTTGTCAAATCCCAGTGAATGTGGTTACGTGATGCCATTGGAATGACTCATTCCCATAATTACATATGTTCTGAGGGGTCATTCCCATTGTGTTATTAAAAACTAGTGATGTTGGATTTTTGGCAGGGACTGTATTCCTCGTATGATCTACAGATTTTGTCAATTAAATGAAGGAAAAGTAGATTTCCAAGAGTTTAGAACAAGACCGGACTTGCACTCAGAGCTCTTTTTCAGTGTGGTATTTGAGCTCCTCTGTTTTATTTAACAGGATAAAGCAGCATCAGCCATCTCTCTCTATTGCAGCAGCTCCCTGCAGAGCACAAAGTGAAATTGTGAAACAAGTGAATTTTGTAGCTCATCTTCAAAATTACAGCAGAAGATATTGTAGGCTGTTTACCACCACAGCAGCTTTCCCAGCTCAGTTCCTCAGGCATGGCTTCCCAGGGATAGCTGGCAGGAGCAGGGGAAAGGCTCCTCGACAAAAAGCTCCAGGTGTGACAGCTCTTGAACAGGAAAAACAAAGTGATCCTAGATTGCTGCCTTGGATATGGAATTCTCAAAATGGTGACTGAAAGCAACAGGGGAATTCGGGAGGGAGGAGAAAACTGAAGTCAAGAAAAAAGGCAAAAAGATGTGAGAGGACTTTGAGAGCCCAGGCTGAGCTGTGCCAGCAGGGTCGAGCCCTTGGAGCTGTGCAGGCTGCAGAGCCCTGGGTTTCACTCTGGGAACATCTGCCAGCACCATGGGTCTGGCACTCACCAGCATTCTGGAAGCTAAAGCAGTTAAATAGCAATGTTTTCCTGTGGTTTGATTTGAACAGTCATGGAAAGTAACTTCTACCCCTATGGGCTGGGCTGCTCTGTGGCACAGGAGGGGCTGTGGCTGCTGAGGCCCTGTCGGTGCCTTTAATACCTCAGGCTTTAAATAATAATATACAACCTACCTGGCTGCCTCTTTTTCACGTTCTTCAAAAATCCTGGAAATTCCAGCGAGCAGTTCCATCCAAATTATGGTTTGGCATTCAGTTGGGTGTGATGTATTACCGTGTACATAAATGCCATCAGCGTGATTTATTTATGGTGACTGATTAATTACACTGGTATTTCTGTAATTTTAATATAGAGTCTTAAAATGTGATCCTATCATCTCTCTCTGTGAAGTCCACTGACTTCATAAAATCTGTAAATATGTATCTGAATTATCCGTTTAGTGTTCTTATACAACGTAATCCAAACAATAATTTTGGAGATAACCTGTTTCACTATCCTACTTTGTTTCCTTTAATCAAAGCTAAGATTTCTCCTGAGTGAGAAATCATTTAAACATAAACATGGACTAAGGAGTATATACATTACCTCCACTTCTCTGGGGGTGGAAAGTCAGTGAATTACTGTGTGAGGAGTGTGTGTGCACACAGTTCATTGACTGTAGATGATGAAAAATACAGATTTATATTTCCCAGACAGGGTTAAGAATGTGATAGAACCAACATGGTTTTGGTGACATTCATCTACTTTAGGCTCCAAATCTCAGCAAACAAGAGAGAAATTAAACAGTTGCAAACCCACGACTGCAAGCTGTCCTTTATTTCTGGCCCTTTGTTCCCCCCATGGCATGGGATGTATTGCTCAAAAGATGAGGAAATAGACTGGAAACCATCCAGCAGATTCTGAGTTAATGGAATTCTGTCCAGCAAAGAACACGAGGTTGTTCAGCAGGGAAGATGAAGCTGTTTCCTGTGCACTGGAGTTCCTGACAAAGCATCTCTCTGTCTGAGCATCCAGCAATTGCTTCTCCAGTTCAGCATCAAGCTGATAAAAGCACAGCATGGGAATACAGGCAGGAGTTGGAGCAGTGATCCCATCCATGATCCATGAGGTTCCTTTGGCTCTCAGATGGAGGCAGAAGGGTCTCAGGAAAGGTTTGCTGTGTCTGTGGACATTTTTAATTAGTTGGGTTTGACTCCGATTTTGGTGAATAAACAAATGAAGCTGGTTCAGCAAACCCATTTATTGATTTATTTGTTTAAAGACATGTATTTTACAGTGATGCCATGGAGACAACACCACAACAGGGTTATTTAGTGCATGGAAAGACAGCATTCACACGTGTGTGAGTTGAGGTGACATCACCCAGCTAAGGACATCTCAGCTTGGACTGGAGAGCTCAGTGTGCAGTTCACGTTGGTCAAAGGCAAAATGTTCTTCCTAAATTCATAACTGAACCAGCTCTCTGGAAGTCAGAGTAAGCACAATTCTTGAGCTGGCTAAAAAAAACCCCGAAAATAAATTTGATGTATTTTTTATATTTTTTTCTCCTAATTGTTCTAAAACAATTTAATTTTAAAATCACCCCTACTGAAAAATCTTGGATATTCTTAATATGCATCTTAAACTTCCTGTTACCTTTGTCCCTTTTTCTTCCCGTTTTGCTCTGAAAAAAAGAAGAAAGTAGGGGAAAGGCTACAACAGAAAGAAGTTTGTCAATTTTTCTAATAATCCCTAGAGTTCTCTAAAATAGGTTCTGTTGATTTATTACATGCAGTTTAGTTTTGAAATAGTTGTGCTAATAGTGCCAGGAGTTACTGTAGGGAATCAAGTCATTACCAGAGCCTCATGTAGAAAACTTTCCAAATGCATTCTCATTTGCTTAATCTTCACTGAGAACTCGGTGGGGACACGGCACCAGGAGGGAGGCACAGAGGGTGAGAGAGCTGAGCTTCACCAGCTGACTGGTGGGTGCTGGTAAAAGGGGAAGGGAAAATGGTTCTGCTTCTGAGCAATGCCATGGCACAAACAAAATACTTCTCTCACAGGCTAGAAAATAAAGCAAGACTGGATCTTGGGGAGCTTTCAGAAATCATATGAACATGATCCCTAAACAGCTTAAAGGATGACTTTTAAGAACCTCTTTCTTCCCCTGCTTGGTATGCTGGTCATTTATCATTGTGCTGAAATGGAATCCCCTTTCAAAGACATAACAGCTTCTTGTTTACTTAAACACAAAGTGGATGATAGGCTGAAAGGTTTTTCTGCCAGCAGAGCAGTCACAGAGAGTTTGGTACAGCTCTGGAGCTGAAACAACTGTGCAGCTTCCACATCCTGCACTGAGCCAAGCCAGCCCTGTGGTGGCTGGGTGAAGGGAGTCAGGGTGTCCTGTGCCAGAGCTGAGTCTTCAGTGGGCACCAAGAGCCACAGGAGAGAACCAGGGTTGTGGGTGTGGGCAGGTGACCCCTTGGAGGGACAGGGAGCTCTCTCCAGGCTACCCTGCACAGCTGTTGGCTCACTCTGCCCTCCAAAACCGCAGAGCACAGAGTGCTATGGAAGTGAGTACAGCGAAGATTGGATTCACCAGGGTTAGTCTGGGGTGAGCTTTCCCCTGCCCTTTGCCCCACCAGGGGAGTTGGAGCTCCAGCAGCACATCCCTTATCCACCCTGGGCACATCTCTGTGAGCCATATCACAGAATTCCCAGAATGACCATCACCATCCCTCAGGACCAGAGAGCTTCTGCTGAACTCTCGAGAAATTAAATGTGTCTCTATGTATTTATACAGAGAAAGCACATTTTACAATCCCAGGGCAGTGAGTGGTGAGACACCCTGTGACACTGCTGAAGGAAGAGCTCCCTGAGCAGAGCAGTCAGTGAACCTGCACATCCCACCAGGGCTCGCCAGCTCTGTCCTGCACAGTCCTTGTCCCAGTTCCACTGCAGAGAAGGAGAATCCAGGAAATTCCAGCCAGTGGGATGCAGACAAGTAGTTTCTACCCAATTAAAATTTTTCTTTCTCTTCTGCAGGACCTGAGCTGTGCCTTCCCTCTCCCACCTGCCTCCCTCCTGCCACGCACAGGGGTGGTGGCCAGCAGCAGGACTGGCTGTCCCCAGCCCAGGATTGTCCCACAGCTGTGACTGGCTGAGCTGAGTCACAATGTTTCAGCAACCTGTGGTTTGTTTTAACCTCTCGTTTCCTTAATTTGCTGTGTGTTAAGTGGATCCTTCAGTGGGGAATTCCTCGGGGCTCAGCGGGGTGCAGCTGGGGTCCCTCACACAGGAGGGCTGGCAGCATTTTCTGGGATTTTCTTAAAGCTTTGGTGAGTTTCCCTTCCACAAGTGAGTCTCTGTCCTGTGGGACACCAGCCTCCATAGGGGCCAAGGTATGAACCACACACTCAGGAAGCTGGTTGTCATTTTGATTTTGTTTTTTTTTTTTTTTTTTAATTTGAAATAATTATTTGAAGCAGATTCAGGGCTGATACCACTGACGTCTTATCACAAACTTTTAACATGTATTCGCAGTGATAAAGTCATACAGCTTAAAACACAAAATACGGGGTGAGGGAAGAGAAAGAGGCCACTGCAGTGTGTGTGTGGGTGCCAGGTCAGGGAGAGTGGCCATGTGGGTTCAGTCTCATCCCCTGGCAGAGTGGGGCTGTGCTGGGGCCACGTGCTTGGGCTCCAGTTGGCGCCTTCCATCATGAAATCAATCCCATGTCTGGGTCCTTCACTGGCTTATGCTCCACCTCTCCTCCCTGCAGTGTCCCCACAGAGCCCTGGGGCTGTGGGCTTTGCCTCCGTGTGTGCTCCCACTCCTCAGCAGCGTTCTGCCACAGTCCTGGGCGGGGTGTGTGTGTGCAGCCTCCTTAGGTATTGTGTGTGTGGCCTCTGTCAGTCCGTGGGTCAGCTTGGAGTATATGTCTGTCTCTGGACACGTGTACATGGTGTAGCAGTGCTCTGTTCAATAAAGCTTTCATATACATAGCAGCAATGGAGTCTTGCCATCAGGTGACAGGGCCAGCTACTGGGCCGGGCTAGCGGGCGTCGCGGCCATAGTGGCCCCTCTCTGTTTGTTCTTCCTCTTCTTGGTGCCAGACTTAGTGTCTTTGGTGTCTTTCCGATTTCTATTCCCATTATCTTGCTTTCCTTGCTCTTCCTTTTTCTTCCTTTTCCCTGCAGTAAAGCAAAGGGACAACGTGAGGTGGAGCAAGGCACTGGGGAACAGATCAGCCCTGTCCACCTCCCCCTGCCCTGCTGGTCAGTTGCTGTGCATTTAAACCCTGCTCAGAACCCCTAACACAGCTGCAATCCTTGTCCATTCTGTAACAACATAACCAAACCACCACTCATCCTGAAGACACTCTAATTCCTGGGAAAAACATACCTAAGCCGAAGACGAGAAGAGAAGAGAAGAGAAGAGAAGAGAAGAGAAGAGAAGAGAAGAGAAGAGAAGAGAAGAGAAGAGAAGAGAAGAGAAGAGAAGAGAACTCCCATCACAGCAGCACACAGGCATGCACCCTTGCCTGCTCTCTGGCCAGGGAAGAAACTAAAATAGCTGAAACCTGTGGCACACATGGCGAGGTGTGCCAAGGATCACGCCCCTGGGGGCTGTGACCCTTCCACCTGCAGCTCTCCCAAGTGCCATCCCATCTGTATCCCCTGCACTTCAGAAGAGTCAGGAGCTGCACAGCACATTTGTGGCACTGGACAATTGTGCTACAATTGTGTGGCTACTTGTGCCTGACCTGTACAGGGTGTGGGGGAGTGATGGCGAGACCCCCCCCGCTCTGCTCACCTTCGGGGCACTGGCTCTTCTGCACCGTGCACCGCCGCACCTCCGTGGTTGCAGGGCACAGGGACACGTCCCCAGAGGGAGCCTGCAGGATCCGCCGTGTTCGGTCCTCATTGCCCTTCTTGAAGCCACAGAGCTTCCTTTTCTTGGAGCAGGGTCCCCACGGCCCCCACTCGCTCATTTCACATTGTGCTGCCAGATAACAAGAGAGCCCAGCTGTAATTCCTGTCCCTGGGTTGCCAGCCCAGGCCATCCCAGAGCCCACCACTGCATCTCTCCCCCACCTTAGGCTGCAGGGCAGTGTGTGTTTCCCCAGCAGGTTCCTAAATCCCCAAGCACCCCCTTCTTTACCACACCACACCAACTCTGGGTCACAGTTCACAAACACCAGGGGCTGCTCTCTGTTCAGGCTGGTTCCCACAGGGCTCTGCCCCACGAAGGGCTGTGCTGTCACCCCCTTGGCACGGGTACAATGAGGGGTTCATCATCTAAACCCCCCTGCAGACAGGAGTGCATGCTTACCAGGACTGCTGCACTCCATGGTGCCGTTGGCAGCAGCGTAGCCTTCAGGGCACGTGACGTAACATCTCCCTTTGTGCAAATACAAACCTTCCTTACATTTTGTGCAAAAGTTTCGACTGAAACACGACTCACAGTTCTCAATTTTGCATTCTGGGGGGAAAAAAAAAAAAAAAAACACAACCAAACACCAAAGCCATCATGTAGTCCGATGTGAACAAAAGACTCAAGAAGCTCCATACTACCAACCAGAGCCCAGTTCTGGCTCCCAGGAGTCTCACAGCAGCCAGGGCATGTCTCTGAGCATCGTGCCAGGCCTGGCTGTGCAACTCAGAAGTGAGATTTCTTTGCACCATTCCCTGTGCTGCGGCTCTCACGGCCAGCAACAGCCACTGCCAGGACAGAATCAGGCGGGGTGGAGAAGTTTTGGGCTGGTGTTCAGCTGAGCATCAGTCAGCCAAAGGGGACAGTGCAAAGGATACAGTCCTGGCTCCAGCTGCAGCTACAGGACAGGCTGCATGGAAAGGGAGCTGGATGGAAACCTGGCCATGAGGGTGCTGTGCATGGACCTGCCAGGGGAGTGATTACGTGTCCAGCTCTCTCTGGTGCTCTGGCTACAAGATGCAAGCCAAGGGTTTCACTCAGAGCTGCCTGAGTCTGGTGAGCAATAGAGCAGGAAAAGAGGCACTAAATGCCTGAAAGGATTTCCCTCTTCCCAAAGGCTGCCAATTTGGCAACCCATATAACAAAACTGCCCAGACGTCCTGCAAGATCCCACATCCACAGTATGCCCATGCAGTGCTGATCAGAGCTCTTTTCTCTTTTCTTTGCCGTGCTCAGCTCTGCCTCACCCCTTCCACACAGCCATAGCACCTCCAGCACCTGAGCAGAGGCAGGTGCTGCCCTGCAGAGCAGTGCCTCCTGCCCCTGCCCCTTCCCTCCCAGCCCCACACTCACTGATGCACTTGTTCATGTCCGTATTGCGAAGGCCAAAGTATCCCAGTGGACAAGAAGGCAGGCAAATCCCAATTTGTCGGATATCGTTCCTCTCCAGAAGGATGAAGAGTTTAGGGGAACACCTCAGGCACCCATTGAACTCAGAGCACAGGTCACAACCTCTGGCACAGCCCTGACTCAGCTCGGTGCTGACTGGAAGAGCAGGATAGAGGCAGTGGTTAGTGCCGGGTTCTGCAGGCACCAGCTGTCACCCCAAAACCACTGGCACCACTGGCAGGAACTGGGACCAGAGCAAGGGCCAAGGTCCTGCAGCACTGACAGCTCTGCCAGCCACCGTGACCCCATCCTCCTGTCCCCCTGTCCCCAAAGGCCACAGGAGCCAGGGCTGTGCCAAGCACAGGCACAAGAGTCACAACAGTGGCCATGCTGAGGAGCAAGACCCAGGGGCAGCCACCAGCTGTGCCCAGAGCCCCAGCACTGTCCACCCCAGCCCGCTGCCTCCCAGCCCTGATGCCCGTGTGGGGCAGGCACTAACGATGGGCATGTGCCCAAGGGTCCAGCACCTCCTGGTCCAGCTGCCTCCCTGCTTGGAGCTGGCAGTGCCTCCATGCCAAGGACCAGTGGGGACCAGAGCACGTGGCCCTAGAGTGAAACTGTTCCACTAATTCCATCTATGCTGCATCCCAGGCTGGATCTCACTGTGACTCTGCTTATGTTAAATTCTCTCTGGCAGTCGGGAGGTGTCACTGCCCCCAAAATAGAGATGTGTTCTCAGCTCCTACATTCAGTCCAAGAAAAATACTCAATCCCATGTCTTGAGAGTTTTCTGCTTTTAATTATCATATAAAATGCTGCTTGTTTTGAAACCAATCGCATTCTTTGCAGACTAGAATGCAGGTTATTTTTATTAGTTTATTATGCAAGCCATGTCCTTGTTTATAGAAAAGCTGTGTATTTAAAAGATGCATTCTTTTAAATACCATGTTTACTACACTTCAAAAGCAAGCGTAGAGCAGCACAGTGCTCACGTGTCAGGACTAGAGGTGAGAAAGCTGCCCTGTCCCCCCACCATGACCCAGGAGCTGCCCTGTCCCCCCAAATGACCCAGGAGCTGCCCCAGACCCAAATGACCCAGAAGCTGCCCTGTCCCCCCACCATGACCCAAGAGCCTGGCAGCCCCCTCTGCCTGCCCCAGCCCCATTGCCATCACCAGGTCTGTGGGCACAAAGGCTGCTTCAGCCTTGGGAAGAGACACTGAAGACAGGGGTGTCCTCAGCCCCCAGCTGCCAGGAGGGTTCACTGGTCTGGACTGGGACCCCCTTGGCACTGTGGGCTCTGGCCCCTCTGCACAGAGACCCTTGGGGATCCAGCCCCATCCCTCCCACAGTGCTGGGCCATGGTGCCAAGCTCTGCATCCATGACAGAGGTATAAACTGGGCCCTCACTGGAAATTGCCTTTATAGCATTAGCCATGACGTCAGGTTTTCCTTGTTCTCTCAGGGCTCAGCAGTCCCAGTTTCAATATAAAATCAATTTTATATAATTTAATTTAAAACAGTTTTAATGTAAAACAGTTCTAACATGCGCTTACATAAAGGAGGGCAAACTGTGGCTGCTCTTGTGCCAATTCTGCCTGGCTGCCCTGCACGAGCCCCACCAGGGACCCCCATGGCTGGAGGCACAACTGACCCCCCTTGTGACCTCAGGGGACACTGCAACTCAGGTCAGGAGACATGGGGAGTGGCTCTGGGGGATCTCTGCCCAGCTCCCTGTGCTGTAAACACATTCACACCAGCATGACCTTCATGGCATCACGAGAGGAAGTAGAGAAGAAAAGCATTTCATACATACTTCGTCTTTGCCTCTTGCCCTTCACCACTTTGCTGCTGCCTGTTAGATCCATCGAGCTTAGAAAAAACACCACCACAAGCAGTCCAAGCTGCATAGTAACTCTCCAGCGCTGCAGCCCCTCCGTCGTGGGGTGGTTGGGGGAGCGTGCTCCACAGCTGGGGTCTCTGCTGCCGCTAAATCGTCTCGGGTGGGATCAGAGCTGAGAGTCTGTGCACAGAGCCAAGTCTCGGACCATATCCACAAACTACATCAGCACCAGCGAGATTAGGTAGCAGGTAACATGGCTCTACCTTCATCCCTGTCAGGAATGCAGGAGCTCGGCCCTAGTCCCATCGGGGGCTCGGCTGTGGGCGTTAGCTGCTCGCAGTTTCCAGGTACGCTGGCAGGAACTGCAAAAGAAGAGGAGAACGGGTTAACTTGACAAACAGCATCGCTCCCACAATGGCTAGGGGTTGTGGGGTGCACTGGGGGCGCTGGCAGATTGTGGCACCCAGAGTGGTGTGGGGAGAACTGTACTCCAGCCTCACCCGTAAGTCCCTGTTGCTAATAATCAGCACCCGTCGAAATGCTCAGGGCATCTTTGCCATCTGCCAGTGCTGCAAACAGTAGTTAGAGCTGGAACTTGTTTAAAATAGAGCCAGACCCCTGGGCCGCCCTCCCCAAGTGGCAGATGGCTGCTGCGGGTGCCAGGCACACAAGATGTTTCCCATCGAGTGGGCACCTCTGGGGCTGGTAGAGCAGAGAGCGAGCCTGCAGTCCCCAGCCAGGGCTGGAGCTGTCTGGGGACGGGGTGGGATCCTCCACGAGCTGCACAAAATGCTGCGTTTCTGCTCTGGGGGAAATTTCCAAACCGCCCATCTCCCATTCCCTGAAGCACAGGGCAGGGTCAGCGCCGTCTGCACAGGGCTGAGAGCAGGAGCTGCCGGGGCTGTCTGTGCCCCAGACTCACTGGCTGAGACAGCCCAGAGTGCGGCAGTGAGCCTGGCTGCAATGGGGCACCGAGCCTGCCATGGGACAGTGAGACTGGCTGCATGGGGCAGCAAGCCCAGCTGCATTGGGGCAGCGATCCCGGCTGCATTGGGGCAGCGATCTCAACTGCAATGGGGCAGCGATCCTGGCTGCATTGGGGCAGAGAGCCCGGCTGCGAGTGCCACACTGTCCTCACCAAGCCACAGTGCTGAGTGGCCCAACGTGCATGGCAGGACAGAGCAATGAGATGGCAACACCAGCTGGGCAGTAAACCAATGGCTCTGCATGAACTTCTGGAGAGAGGAGGGAAGCCCATTTGCCCAACGGCCAGCCAGCACCCAGGACTCCACATGTACCATCTTTTCCTGAGATTGCCCAAGCCCTTGCTCCAGCTGGCTGCTGACAGGGCATTTTCCCTGTAGTTTTTAAGTGGTTTTCCCTGTGCCCGGTGTGAAAGAAGGGCAAGTTCCAAGCTGCACCAAGAGATCTGGCACTGCCAAGCCAGGCCCCACTCCTCTCTGCAGCTGGCAGAGCAAGCCCTGCCAACGGCAGACATTGTGTTGGAATAAAGGCGACAACATTTGTTCTGTGAAGTCAAATGAAACAGAAAATTGTTTTAATCCCTTTATAATAACTGCGCAATCACCAATGCCCCAAACAACTGGTGGCGACAGTGCTGGAAATGAGCCCGGCCTCAGCCTGGGATGGGCCAGTCCCCTCCCTGGCCCACCCTGGGTGGGGGACCTGCTGAAGGGCCACTGGCCCAAGCAGCCCCCTGCCCCAGCCCACCTGAGGGTAGTTATGGCCCCACAGCAGAGCACCTGGAGGGAGGGGGCAGCCCCAGCAGCGGGCATGGACGTGACCCGGGTACCACTGAGCCTTGCAGCAGCAAATGGCACCAACACTGAGCTGTGCCAGGTGTGGGCACCTCCCGGCAGCGCTGGCAACCAGCGGGTGCTGTGGGGCCACCGCCACTGTCCCCCCATCCTGGTGGCTCTGAACTTTTCACCGTGTCCCTGCTGCGAGTGCCGGGGCAGGAGCCCAGCGCTCCCCATGTGCTTGTCGTTACAGCCTACGGGTCGTCCACAGGATTTTCAAATAAATAATTAGTCACTTGTGTAAACACCAACTTGTTCTGCACTTCCAAGCCTGTTTGCTGCAAGCTGCTTTATAAACACTGTCAAGTGCTTAAGCCGGGCTGCGGGAGTGATTACGGAGCTGTGCAGAGCGGGGATCCCCGCGGCTCCTCTGCACTTGTGCAGGGACCTGGGCACGGCGCCCAGCGGGTCGGGTCAGGAGGGTCCCTCCGGACAGGTGCTGTGGGACAGTCCGGCCATGCCCAGCACGGCCGCAGGACCCTGGGGATGCGAGCGGGTGCGATCAGCCCCGCCAGGGCAGCGCAGCCCAAACCATCCCCGAACGAGCGCCGAGTGTCGGCGGCTCCGGAGGCACCGCGGGGCCGCCACCCGCTCCTCCTGCCCCCGGTTTTTAATTACGGCGGCTTTGCGGGTGAAGCGCGCTCACAGGAAGCACACGCCGTGTTTACACAACACTCACAGATTGGGCACAATCCCCCGGCGTGGGGACAGCAGCAGGGATGGATGTCAGCAGGGAGCAAACACAGCCCCCGTGTGCCAAGAGCCAGCGTGAAGCTCGTGCCAGCACCACATGCCCCATTTCTGAGGGCAGGGAAGTGCCATGGGAAACCTTGGGACCCGAGCACAAACCAAGCGAGCGCACACGTTTTCCTCCTTGCTTTCTAACCCAAAGAGAGCCTGGGGTTGGCCGCAGCTGCTGCCTCAGCACAGAAAGGCCACTGGCACCCCAGGTGCTGCAGAGTCAGTGTCTTGGCAGGTCACACACGATCCACAGGTCTCCAAATCCCCCCCATGAGCACCTGGAGGTCTGTGGTGAGCTGTCTGGCTGGACTCCCAGCTCTTCCCACCCTCACTGCAGGACACGAGTTATGATTCTTTCTGTTACTGCAGCCATCAGTCAAGCTCGGGTTGCTACAAACAATTTCCAGTCTAAACATTAGCAGGATTTATGCCATTATCCCATCTACAGGAAGAATTTGGGGTAACCTGAATTGCTCTGAATTCATTTATGGAGAGACCTGGCCCCTGAATCTGAGATGGCACTAAGCCTTGTTTGCAATTCAATCACGATAAATTGGTCCTTGGGAGCTCCAATACAAACCAGAAAATGTAAACCATCCAGATAATTTGCCATTAGTCCTCCTACACACAAGGTGAGAAAGACCAACGTTATATCCCAAGGATATTTGAGACCTAATCCACAATAACTAAATTGCTGATATATTGCCTCTTGCTGAATGTACCAGGGATCTGAAATGTAAACAGGCTCTCCAAAGGTTTACTGAGCCTTGGAGAGAAGGACCAGATGCTAGAGGCAGGACAAACCTGGTTATAGCAGCAGTAGGAATGAACCCCTGGGAACTGCCAGGTCTCTGCCAACAGCCGACTGGGCACCAGCTGTGAGGGGGGGGATTTGGGTTTCCGGGTCCTAGCACTGGATAGAGAATTTGAATTTCCTCTTGGTAGTCAGTGAGGGGTGTGAATATGCACAAACTGGTTTCCCTGCAGGAGGAATTGTGGTTTTGTAGGGTCTCACTCGGGTTAGTTTGGTCCCACATCTCCCAGCCCTGCACCAGGGCTCAGCACCCAGGACACCACTCCCATCCCCAGGGCAGAGTCCAGCTCCAGAAGTAGAGCTCTCCACCAATGATGGCACCAGTTACCCATTGTCCCTGTTCCACAGGCACACAGGGATGTGCCCACTCTGCTGGTGCTCCCTGAGCCTGGTGTCTGCTCTGCCTGTGCCCTACATCCATGAGCTGGCCACCCCATGGCAGAGCTCCCTGCCTTCCTGCCTGCTGAAGGAGCAGGTTTGGGCCCTTGTTCTCTTTGGAAAGTCCCTCTCTTCTGCTGTGTTCCCCAGGGCTGCTTTCCTGTCGGCAGGGCTAATGCTCCAGGAGCAGCACTGTGGAACCCTCTGCAGTGGAAGGTCCCACCACGCTTGGCTGGGCCATCACAGCTGCCACAGGGTGTCTCACGTGCCTCTGGCAAACATTTCTGCACATGCACAGGCAGAGCCACTTTGTTCTGCTTAATCCTTGAAGCAATAAAAGACGGCTGCATTAAGTCAAATTTCCGAACCAGAAGGTCTTCATTTGATATTAGACCCCAGTGCCAAGTTCTGCAAAATCCCCAACCCATAAACTTCACTGAAAAAATAAAATAATAAAGCCCAATCTGGCAGCAGAGCTATCCACAGCATTGTTGAGGTCTGACTTCTTCCACCAGCTCCTGCACTGCATTCCCCGGATCTGCAGAGCCGAGCTGTGACCCCGCTGATGGGGAATACACTGAGGAGAGGCTGCTGCTCATGGCCACCCCTCTGCCCTGGCCTGGCAGTGGGAGCTGCTCTGGGGGTCAGCAGCACCTCAGCTCCTGCAGCTGCAGCGCTGGCTCCTCACCCTCCTGTGCAGTGCCCCCGCAGTAGCTGCTCCAAGAAACTCTGTGATCCACAGTGCCACAGGCCTCCCTCCAGGAGTGCTTGTGCTTCAGCACTGTAAAACATCAGGAAATGTTTTACAGGGGGATTCCCGTGGCCCTCATGCCAACGCAGAGGCAGCACACTGCTCTGGAGGAGGAGGGGGAGGCAGAGCCCTGAGGCAGGCTGCAGGATCCATGCCTGCTGCTTCTCCACAGAACCAGAGCAGCATCTGGAGCTGCACTGGAATCATCCTGGCAGGCACAGCTCTGTGCCTGGGGATCTGACTGCAGTCAGGGGAGCAGCAAGCCCGTGTCTGTTAAGTACAACTTGGGTGGGTTTGAGCCTCCTACAGATCTGTAACTCACCAGAACAGCACAACCAAATTTCAGACCAGGAAAGAGAACAGCCAATTCACCGTAGCACAGAGCAGGGCACTGCGAATCTGGCTCTTCCCCCAAAAGGGCTCCCTAAAGGCCCATTGCTGGGCAGGGACATGCTCGGAGGTGCCCCAGGAGGTGTGGGGTGGACACACACCATGTCAGGGTGGGGGAGCAGGGAGGTCTGACCCAAACTGGGAAGCACAATCAGGGGTGCTGAGGCTCATCCTACAACAAGTGCACACATTCAGCTCAATACACAATTCCCCTCTTATTTCTGTGGAAATGCCTGCAAACAAGGGCTTACAGCTCCTTCCACCACAGACTCTGCCTGCCAGCTTTGTAAACACAAATTTCCAGGCTCACAGGGGCTCGATGAGCCATGAGCTGCTGTGCTGAGCTGCAAAGGCAGAGCCAAAGCCTGAAGCCCAGGGCAAAGCCCTGAGCAGCACCTGGGGCTTTCTGCTTGGCCCTTGCACAGGAACCATCTGCCAAGCAGAGCTTCCTGAAGGGATTCCCGGTGCTTTAGCTCTCCCAGACATCACTGCCTGGGAAACCTGAACCCTGCAGAGCCAGGAGTAGCACCAACTCCAGCAGCAGAGGAAAACAAACTGGGAAAAATACCCCCCAGCCTCAGCTCTGGGCGTGTGGCAGGACAGCAGGAGGGAGTGAGCAGGCAGCCAGGGTGTCCTCCAGAGCAGTTGCTGCTGCCAGCCTGGACTGAGCCCGTCCAAACTCTGCCTTTTTGTGGGATGGCAGCCCCCTGCACCACTAGGATGGGGGGAGCAAGTTGTGAGCTCTGCAGGCCTGGCAGTGCTCAGGGTGGTTTGCAATGAAGGACATCCTGCAGCCAGCCCATGCCACCCCACTGCCCGAGAGCCTGTGAGGAAGCTGCAGTGCCAGAGGATCTTCCTGGAGGCAGGTCGGTGGTGGGTATGGCAGGAAACCTGTCGGTATTCGCCAGGTCTTAGGCAAAGACAGGCACTTCCATCCCTGGCAGGGTGACAGGTCACCCTCACACCGCACAGGGGAAGGGTCTCTGCTGCCAGCGCCACCTGTCTCAGCTGCATGGTCCCCTCTGTCCCACTCCAGGGATGTCCCCATAGTCCAGGAGGGTTGATCTCGGCTCTGTTGCTCGCCACAGTCCCAGCCTCATAATCCAGCTGTGCCAGCTCACATCTGGCTCGGCTGATGGAAATGTGGGTTTATGCTCAGCTCAGCTGCTGCCTGCACACGGTGGCAGGGCTGGCTGGTTTTGGCTGTGCTCAGGGGATCGCTGGGATCTCCGGATGCCCCGGCTCCTCCCTGCCGCGTCCCTCAGGGTGGTGCTGCTGCTCTCGCAGCGGCCGCGCAGGGGCCGGGGAGCTGATCCAGCTGAAACGAGCCTTTTTTCCAGCCTGGTTTCCAGGCATGTTGCAGCACTGGCATTCCCAGGCCCGCGGTGCTGCTGCCATCCTCCCAGCCAGCCCCCACAGCCCTGGCCCCACGGCGGGGTGAGTGGATGGAGTCAGGAGTTCACGGCTCCAGGGTCACCGATGGACTTCAGACAAAGTCACTGCAAATGGAGACCCCTCCAGGCAGAAGTTTCACTGCAAGTGCCCAGTCCTTGTGGGATCTCAGCACAGACCTGGCCACCCCAAACGGCGCTGTAAGCACTGGCCCAAGTTCACAGACTTTCAGGCGGCAGGATTTTTTTTGCGTGGGTACCTGCTGACCCCTGTGCAGCAGGGTGGAGGCTCCACGCGTGCCTTGCCATGCAGCATTTTCTTCTGCCAGTATTACCCTATTTTAATGCCTTTTACTGCAAGGTGCCTCTAAACCCAAGCAGCATCACCTGAGCACCCCTCTCTGTACCCAGTGCGGGCCAAGGGAGCACACATGCCTGAGCCGACAGAAGAGTCCAGCAGCACACGGGTGACCAAGCCCCAGTCACCCCCACGCACGTCTCGCAGCACTGGGCTCCATCAGCACAGAGCAGCGAGGCTGAAGCCACCTTGACCCTCGCCGGGGAGCTGTGTCCCAGCCTGGCTGCGGGAGCCCTCGCTGAGCCAGCACCGCATCCAGCAGCGCTTCCCTGCACATCAGCGCCGGCTGCTCACACCACGTCTAATCACTGCAATAAGCCCAATTAACTATTTCTCCACTCATCCCCCATCCCAAACTCCTCGGAGCCTGTACTCACCCCGCGCCCTCCGAGCGCCTGCTGTGCCCCCATGGGTGCGTGGCAGGAGGCTTGGCTTGGGTGCAGCCACAGCAGAACTGAGACAGCAGCAAATTAACTGTCCCATCCTCCCATTATTCCTGTCGCTGGGATCAGGGGCAGGGCAGTAGGGCACGGCCACTGCTGTGCCGTGGCTGGCAGGAGCCCGCACAATCAGTTACGATCTCCAGCGAGCTGATCAATATCCCCACCAGCTCTCTGTGTCCCCTTCCCCAAACGGGACGGTAACACGGTGGCGGGGGACACACGCAGCAGCCCAGCTTCCCTGCAAGCCCCACACACCTTGGGGAGGGGGGGAGAAAGGGGATCCCACAGATGGTGCTGTGATTTCGCACAGCTCTCATTGTCTGAACTCATTATCCACGTTGCACAAGGCAAACCCGCAGTCAGATGCTGACACCGCTCGCGTTCTTCATTACCAGCCCACATTGCAAAAGCTCCATTGACACAAAACAAGCATGCTGAAGCCCTTACCTTCAACTTGTCACTCCCTCATCACTGCAGAAAAGATTCTACTGGGTTCTCAGATTTAAAATACTATAAGAACAACTACAAAATTCCTCAGTTCCTCCAGAGAAAGGTACACACACGTTTCTGTCAAAAAAAATGAAAAATATATTCATGGCGAGTTCATGGAGAAGTCTGGTGCATTTGGATATTTTGGTCACTCGTTTTTTAAAGCAGGTTTCTAACGGGGTCCCAGGTTTTGCACAGAGAAACAAACCCTTCTGCGATGTGCAGGATCTCAGCTCGTAAAGATCGCTCAGGCTAATTCCTACTCCATCAGCCCACGCTGCTCCCTGCGTATGCAAAGCAGAAAGTATGTGATCATATCAGAGCTATTTGCACATTAATAAATCCTGGTCTCAATCCGTAGACTCCGTCCCCATCCACCGGGTAGGGGCTTTTTATTATTATTATTACCAGAGTATCCAGCTTTGTAAAGGCATCCAGTGCAAACTCCTGCATGAGGGAATTCCACCCCACTAGTACCACCTCCTAAGACAATATCCAGCCAAAATATTGTGACTGTTGCAAAACCCGGACTGGAGCTCCACAAAGGACCTTCCAGCCTCGCATCCAGAGCCAGCAGGGTCTCAGTAAATTACTGCAGAGTGACACACCATCGAGTTGTCTTTGTAGTCTTTTTTATTTATGACAGTTAATTCCGAGTTATTACTAACATTTTAGTGGTAAGTGGCATATGAAGTCATCAGCTGTCACAACTGCATCTGTTAATAAACATGTCAGATATTAAAAGCAGCTTATTATCCTCTGGAGGGGGGAAGGCATGAAGGCAAGGAGCTCAGAGCCTGGTTGTTTTTCCATTACTGGCTGTACAGCAGGAAGAAACACTCCTGCTCAGGAGAACAGCATGGCTGAGGTGGGACTGCCTGGGATACCTGCCCTCCAGCACATCTGAGCAGCCTGTGAGCTCTCCTCCCTGTGCTGGAGTTCCCTTTGCCTCCTCCACCTGCACTCCAGGATGGAGACCCCATTTCGTGCAGGTGAACAGGGGACATCAGTGTTCAGGCACCTTCCCTGAGCCCCACCGTGCCTGGTGGCATGAGCAGATCCTGCACCAGGGCTCAGGTGGCAGCCAGGTGCTCCCAGGAGCCTTGCTGGACCCTGGCCCAGTGCTCCTGTACGAGCCATACAGAGGAGCTGGTGGCCACCAGCCTCCCGAGGGCCAGCAGCTCAGGTCCCCAGCCATGAGTGACCCTCATCTCCAGTCCTTGCAGGGCTGATGTGATGCTCAAGGCCATGGGGCTCTGCCCAGAGCCCTGGTGCTCTGGTGAGCTGTCCCAGGGGTGTGTGACAAGCTGCCAGGCATGACATGGCCATGGACCCTGGCAGTCTGCTGGAGGACCTTCCCCAAGCTTGCAGGGCTCTGAGCTGGAAGCCAGAGGGCACAGGCCCTTTAAACGATGTGACGAGCCCTGTGGTGGCTCCTGAATCCCTCCTGGGTCCCCTGCTGGGGCCAGGGCAGTTCCCCTTCAACCCTGCTGCCCATGAGCCCCCATGGAACAGAGGTCCCTGAGTATCCCTGGCAGCTGCTCCGTGGGCCCTGGGGTGCTCACTGGGATCCAGTGTGGACCCCACAGCCCTGAGGGAGAAAAGGGCAAGGTATGGATACAGAACATGACTTCAAGCAGCCCCCCAGACACATAAATTGGGACAGCCTCATGAATTCCTCACACACCTGCCATCTTCTCTGCCATAAACAGCTCTTATGCTGTGAACACCGAGGTGCAAAATAACCCAAGCACAGGCAAGAGGGAAAACTCACCCTTTCTGCAGCTTTTCCTTTGTGCTGTGTGTGTTAGTGCTCACGTACATAGAAGTTTTATTCATACTGAACTTTGGCACCTTGATAAATGCCCCTCATTTCCTATCTGTAAATGATGTCACTGAGGTCTTTGCTATCTCACAGGAGTGTTGTGAATGAGTTCTGCTTGTTAGCAGATGCTGACCAGTCACTGTTGCAAGTCTCCATATTGAAGACCTTTTTCTATTTATATTTAGAGCTTTTTTTTTTACTTTCTATTCTAGGAAATTCTCAAGTACCATCAAATGTTGTCAGGGACAGCATCACTCTCTTGACTGTATGAGTAAAAAATCTGATGAACCCAAGATCTGTATTTCATGCACATTGAACAGCCTTTTTGACACTGGGGTGCTGCAGCCTCAGCTGACAGCTGTAGATCAAGTTTCTAACTGAGCAATAAATCCCCAAGTCAGAGCTCTGTACTGGCAATGCTGACAGACCCAGATGCAACAGCAGGGCTACCAGCACAGCACCAATTAACCAACAGAGCAGTGGGTCTGGCTGAAGGCAAAGGAACATGATCACAGCTCCCTGGTGCCAGAGGTGTCATTGCAGAGGATGGAAAATCAAACTAAAACCTGCCTTAACGCCCTGCACAATAAATCCAGCACCAAGTCCTACATTTCTTTCCCCTCTGACAGGAGCTCATTTACAGGCTTGGTTTTCTTTAGCTAATGGCTCTTGAGGCTGATCCTAAATTAATCCCAAACAGGTTGTTTCTCTCCTGTACAAAAGGACGTGAAATCCCCCGTTTTAGCAGGATAAAATTCCAAGCCACTCCAGATTGAAAGCAGACAGTTCCTTGACACCCACAGCAGGTTCCCCGGGCTCCTCTGGCTGGGACATGGGCACAGTGGCTCTGCACAAAGCTGAGGGGACAACCCCACTCTGTTTCTGCACAAGAAGTTCCAATTCCACCACATCCCCTAGCCCACCCTTAAAGTATGTTGTTCTTCTCTGCATTAAAAAACTGCGATATTTTGGTACAGTTTCATCCCTCTATGGTTCCTGCTTTGCTAAACCCTCTGCCTCTCCTGAAGAGGGGGAAGGTGTCTCCATGAAAGGCTGGGACTGCATGGGCAGCCAGGAGCCACGTCCCTTACCCCTGGTGCAGCTGAGGACAGGGGCTGTGGGTGTACCCAGGTCTGCCCCAAGCAGATCCAGCACGGAACACCACAGCTTCTTTCAGACCCACATTAACCCTACCAGTGCCTACGAATTCCCAGCTGGCACAGAAGGTGCATTACTCATCCCTGGTGCCTCATCAGCCTTGATAATATCTCAGCATAAGCAAAAAGCAGAAAAGACACTCGCAGAGAGAGCAGAAGGAAAGCGAGTATGTCCTGAAGTGTCTGTGACACTCCCAGACTGGACACAAGGTCTTTTCTGGTCTGCTGCTCTGAGGGTTCTCTGCTGCAGGAGGGCTGATAGCCCAGGCAGTTGTTTGTAATAGCACCTGACCATCAGCAGCCCGAGTGTCAGGAGCACAGTGGTGCCTGTGCCTGCCCACTGCCTCCACACTCGCTCTGGCTGCCAGGCCACGACTGCACTCCTGGCAGGGGCTGCACAGCCCGTGCTGGGGGATCAGGCACACCAGGATCACACCTTCCATGGGAGGTGTGAGAGTCAGAGGATGTGGAGCTGACTTCCTGATAGGATCACCCGGGCATGCCTCTGCTTCCCAAGCAAGCCTGGGCTTTCATCCAGCCCGTGCTGCTCACGGGCTGTGCTCAGAGGCAGTGAGACAGTGGCACTGCCAGCCTGTGGGACACATGCTGAGAAAGTAAGAAAATTACAGCCTGAAAAATATTCCAGGCTGGAGCTTCTCAGCTCTGTTCCCAGCCGATAAGCTGGTCCAGCTCAAGGCTAGGGAGAATTTCTCCCAGGGTGATAATTTAATCAAAATAAAAAGGAATTAATAACAAGATAGAACACCTGTTGTGGTGTGTGACCAGGCCCTGGAAATGGGGTGTCTTCTCTCTGAACCAATCACCTTTTCTCTACTCTTAGAATTGCAAGTCATGCTATAAAACCAAGTGTGTTCCTGAATAAACTTGGCTCTTTCTTTCTATCATGAAAGATAACCACGTAGCCGTGCATCTTATTTCCACTGCACTTAAAGGGTTAAAACCCCTTTCCACGGCTACACCAGCCTGGCCCGAGCTGGGAGCGTCTCCATCTGGGAATGCTCCCGGATCCTCTTCCCAGATTGGTGTTGAGGGCCACAAGCTGCAGAGCCGTGCAAATTCCTTCAGTGTAGAAGAGTCTGTGGGTGACAGCAGAGCGAGACCCTGTCATCCCACAGGTGGAGGGGATGAGATGCCCCATACCCCCCCAGATGTGGTGCAGGCAGCAGCTGGTGCCTGCCTGCACCCCACACCCTGTGGGCAGGTCAGCAGTGCTCCAGCAGGGCTGACCTGCTCCAGGCTGGCCATGCCCAGGGCAGGGGGCTGTTCCTGGGTGTCCCACCGGCTGCCTTGCTATCCAAACCCTTTTCTTGGGTCTGACATGTCTTCTGGCACCTCGTCCGTGCAGTCTGGGCATTTCCCCTCTCCCCAAGGAGCAGCGTTATGTGCATGTTGGGAAATGCTCTTTTCCCATTTGCTCCAAAGGCCCTTTCCCCTGTTGTTTGAGGAATGCTGTTTGAATTAGCTGCACGGATTGCAAACAGACCCCGTTGTTTTCCTTTCCCAATGCAGGGAGGCTTCTGTTCTCTCTGGCCTGCTGTATTAACCAGGGGCCTTACACACTGACCTCTCTGCAGCTCAGGGAAGCTAATTTAATCCCAATATTGTTACAGATCACAGCAGGACGGATGTCACAGATTCCTTGAGGCAAACCAGCATGGAGTGCTGGCAGGGACAGCAGCATGCTGTGTTTGTAGAGGCAGGAGCGGCTGCAATTTTTCTGTTAAATTCCCTCTACAAAACTCATGCAGCTGGGGAGGACAGCAGCACTGGGGAACAGGGGGATACCCTGGGCACAGAGGTCCAACTGAGGAGATGCTCTGCCTGCATCCCCAGTACCCCTGGCGTGCCTGGATGGTGGCTCTGAATCCTGGCAGAAGATAAGGAGATGCAAACTCACATCTCCTTGCTATTTCTTTTTCATTATTATTCTTTTTCCCTTGGTACCTGCTCCTGAAAGTGCTCTGTGATGTGATGCTGAGCCTGGAAAAGGCATCAGCACCCTCACAGCAGGGCAATCCATATCCATCTCACTTGATTTTCGGGGAGAAGATCAGCCTTCTCACCCTGTCCCAGCTCTGCCCACCCTGGCCCCACAGCCCCACCTGAAACAATCACTCTCCCTGGCACAGGGAGGGTGTCCAGCCCCCAAGCAGGAGCCACTGGGATTTGGGGGGAAGCCCTGCCTCTCCAGCTCGGGGGTCTTTGAGATTTGGGAAAAATAAATTACTTTGGGATGCTATAAAAGAGAAGTTTGAATGATGACGCATCACAGGGCTGGGACTTCCAGCATTTCTTGTAAGCTCCATCCAGAGCTGGAAGTGGAAGAGGCCACTGGCATAGCCAAGAGTGCATGAAACCAAGAGCCTCTGCAGCAGGAGTGGCTTTGTGAGCAGCTTGACCCTCTCCAGGCATCTGGTCCCTCCCTTCTGCCTCTGCT